GCAGCACGGACGGATGGACGGACGGACGGACGGACGGACGGGCCGGCGGTGACCCGAGCTGGGGCGCTCGCTGGGGCACAGGGTCTGCCCCGGGCTGGGACGGGGTGACAGCCCGAGCTCAGGCCTGGTGACAGCGGGACATCGCTCTGCAGCAGCACCCGGCACGGCTGGGGGGGACAGGGGGACTCTGCCCTGCCTGTGCAACCACGGACCCAGGGGGACACCCACTGCCCTCCCTGGGGTACCCACACACCCCTCTCCTCTGCCCGCCCTCCCTGGAGTGTCCCTAGACCCCCCCACTGCCCTCCCTGGGGTGTCTCCAGACCCGCTGGGCAGGGAGGGTCTCCTGGCAGTCATTGCACCCAGCCTGGGGAGCTGCAGGAGGGATGGACCCGGCTGCAGGACCTGGCCAGGTTCCTCTCCCTATCCCTGGCACAACTTTTCAGCATCTTCTGGGACCTGTGCTGGCCATAGCTCCCACGTGTCCATCCTCCAGTCTCCAAAGGGAGCTGCAGCCACCAAGGGATGCCTTCCCACTGCTCTCCAGGTCTGTGTTGCCAAGCCTCTGGGCTTGGAAATAGCGTCCAGACTCTCTCTGTGCCTTTGGCCTGGTTTTGGTCATGAGATGTTTAGTTGCAATTCTTTGGGTAGTTTTTAGCTCATGGAGGCCAATTTCCCAGATTTCCTTCATGAGCCTGAAGAGCTGAGAACACACTGTTCCCATAATGTTGACATGTTCCCCCAGTCCCACGACTCCGAGTGTCTTGTGGTTACAGCAGTGCTCGCACCAGCAGCTCAGAGCTGGTGCTGAGAGAATGTCTGCAGCCCTGTGGTGTTGGGAGCAGGTCCCAGCTGCACAGGAGGAATACAGGTCCTGGGGTCATAGGACTGGGACTAGGCCCTGGGCACAGGGGAGTGGCATGGGGTCACAGCCCTGAGAACTGCTCCTGGGCAAAACAACACCTGAACAGGTCCTGCTGGAGGTCAAGCCAACAGATCCTTGCTGCACAGCACAGGGAACAATTAAACACTGGGCTGCATCCTCAGCAGCCTGTCCCACAGGGCCAGACAGGGGATTGTCCCCATCTGCTCTGCTGTGCTGAGACCCCCCTGCAGGGTTGGATCCAGTTCTGGGATCTCCAACACAAGAAGGACACGGAGGTGAGATACTAGGAAGAAATTCTTTGCCATGAGGGTGATGAGTTCCTGGCCCAGGCTGCCCAAAGAAGCTGTGGCTGCCCCATCCCTGGGGGTGTTGAAGGGCAGGTTGGATGGGGTTTGGAGCACCCTGGTCTGGTGGGAGGTGTCCCTGCCCATGCAGGGGAACTTTTCAGCATCTTCTGGGACCTGTGCTGGCCATAGCTCCCACGTGTCCATCCTCCAGTCTCCAAAGGGAGCTGCAGCCACCAAGGGATGCCTTCCCACTGCTCTCCAGGTCTGTGTTGCCAAGCCTCTGGGCTTGGAAATAGCGTCCAGACTCTCTCTGTGCCTTTGGCCTGGTTTTGGTCATGAGATGTTTAGTTGCAATTCTTTGGGTAGTTTTTAGCTCATGGAGGCCAATTTCCCAGATTTCCTTCATGAGCCTGAAGAGCTGAGAACACACTGTTCCCATAATGTTGACATGTTCCCCCAGTCCCACGACTCCGAGTGTCTTGTGGTTACAGCAGTGCTCGCACCAGCAGCTCAGAGCTGGTGCTGAGAGAATGTCTGCAGCCCTGTGGTGTTGGGAGCAGGTCCCAGCTGCACAGGAGGAATACAGGTCCTGGGGTCATAGGACTGGGACTAGGCCCTGGGCACAGGGGAGTGGCATGGGGTCACAGCCCTGAGAACTGCTCCTGGGCAAAACAACACCTGAACAGGTCCTGCTGGAGGTCAAGCCAACAGATCCTTGCTGCACAGCACAGGGAACAATTAAACACTGGGCTGCATCCTCAGCAGCCTGTCCCACAGGGCCAGACAGGGGATTGTCCCCATCTGCTCTGCTGTGCTGAGACCCCCCTGCAGGGTTGGATCCAGTTCTGGGATCTCCAACACAAGAAGGACACGGAGGTGAGATACTAGGAAGAAATTCTTTGCCATGAGGGTTATGAGTTCCTGGCCCAGGCTGCCCAAAGAAGCTGTGGCTGCCTCATCCATGGAAATGTTGAAGGGCAGGTTGGATGGGGCTTGGAGCACCCTGGTCTGGTGGGAGGTGTCCCTGCCCATGCAGGGGGTGGGACTGGATGAGCTTTAAGGTCACTTCCCACCCAAACCATTCTAGGTGAGCATCTCTGAGCCAGGGCAAGCCTAAGGCTTGGGAAGCCATCCCTCCTTCTGTCCCTTCGGGAAGTCTCAGCACAGTGCTCTGGAATGGACCCATGTTTGTATCCATGCAGACTTGAGAAGCTTATAAACACAACCACAGGCTGTGCTGGTCCTGGTTCAGCCTCAGCCCAGAGACATGCACAGGAACAGCACCATGTCTGCACCCCCTTAGGGCAGGTCAGTCTGCCAGGCACAGGCAGGAGGTGGAACCAGCATCCAAGCAGGCTCCGGCTCAGTGAAGTGTGGGTCCCAGCGGGGGGTCTCTGGTGTGGTGATGCACACATTCCTGGGGGATACGGGCTCCCCAGGGAGCTGGCAGTGGGCTCAGCAGGGCTACAGGTCCCCCACCTGGTGCTAGCATGGGGCAGGGACTGCAGAGCCTGCCTTGGACCTGGAGTCCCCAGTGTGCAGAGGGAACTGGTGCCTGCCTGTCTCTCCCCAAGGGCTGGAGAACAAGTGCCACGCACAGGCACGAGTGGGAAGCAGCAGGAAGCGCATCTCCCAGATGGGCTTGGAGCCAGGCGGAGGCTGCACCCATCTGGTCCCCCCCGTCTGGCAGCCAGGAGGATCCAGGAAGATGGCAGAGACCATGCAGGGGATCCAGGGAGGCAGGGGAAGGGGGCAGAGCTGGGGGGCAGCTGGACCTGCCGACTCCCAGGTGTGTCCAGGGACCCCACAGGGCAGGGCTGGGAAACCACATCCAGCAAAGGAGCCAAGAAGACCCCTCTGGGCAGTGACATGCACACCACGAGGAGGGAGTTTGGGTGATTCTCCCCCTCTGCTCTGCTCTGGTGAGACCCCCCTGCAGGGCTGGGTCCAGCTCTGTGGTCCCCAACATATGAAAGACACAGAGCTGTGGAAGCAACTCCAGAGGAGGCCATGGAGGTAATGGAAGGGCTGGAGTAACTCTGCTCTGGAGACAGGCTGAGTCTAGTGGAAGTTGTCCCTGCCTATTGCAACAGGTTGGACTAGATGATTTCGGGTACTGGAACAGGCTGCCCAGGGAAGCAATGGAGTCATCACCCTTGTTATTTTAAATACTCTCCATGGGTGAGATGAGACCAAATCTTTGCCAGAACTGGTGATGTGGTGATCAGAGAATGTTTCTAATATGCTGCCTCTGACACAGGGTCCCAAACACTCTCTCAGCCTCCATCTCTCTGAATCAGAGAATCTTCTTTCTGTGCACTGAGACACACTTGGCCTCCTCTGTAGCTATTCCACAAATGATGAAAGCAGTTTGGAAAAAGCACAGTTCACTCATTCTAAAAACATTTTCCCTGCTGCTTTATACTTGAAATGGTTCCTGATCTTGATTAAATGTATTAGCCTGCCAATCACCTGACAGTTCTACACAGGCCAAATCATGCTCCTCTTACTACTGCCTATTAGGTCCACATTCAATTGGGTCGTGCCCCTTTACTCTCAAGTACTAAAGATTTTGTTCTCCACATTATCTGTGTGAACATTTGAAACTCATTTTCAATTTGGGGGAATCATACATTAGTAGCAAAGCAATTAACATTTTTTAAAAAAGTCTTCTGTGTATCTAGCCAATGGGAAAGTGACTTCAGTGTCTGAAGTGAGATTGTGGGAAGGCAGTTTTACTTCCTAGACCTCTGACCAAGTTGGTATTTTTCCAAGGATTTGCAATCTCCAACTCTAGCAGTTTGGAGACACAGAATGGAAGATGAAGAAGAAAGGAAGTCGAATGACAAAGCTCATCTCTATATTTGATAAATCTGGTTTTGCCCAAAGTGAAGAAAAAAAGAAAGAAAACCCCCACGACCTGAAGATCACAACAGCTGGGGAAAAAAACAGTCTAGCAGCCTTTGAACACCAGCTTGACTTAAACCCATGGGGGACTTAAAACTCTTTAGCCCTTTCAGAACTTTCCATCATGACCACTTACACTGGATTACTGAGCTTTCCTAAAACCAACACACATTTTTGTCCTGTTTCTCATGGCCAAAATCAAACCCCTCTTACCCTTCGCAAACGAGTATTTCCCCGCGGGATCCCAAATCAAACACTCCTCCTAATGTGCTGCAATAAAAACCGTATCAAGTGACCTTTGAAAAATATTGCCTGGTGTCAGAAAAGATTTTCAATCATTTTTAAAGGTTACAGCACTCTCACCCTCCATGGAAACGTCCTCTCTTCTGCTCCTGTTGAATGCGGATGTTCTCCAGCCTGAGCGGGCTTGGGATGAAGCCGATCTCGCAGCCCTCCTTCACCAGCCTTCCTATCCACCAGTCATTGTTGTATTTCTGGAACACAGGAAGGTCACTGGCTTCAGTTCAAAACGTCCACGTCCAAAACTCCCTTCATTTTGTTACTTATCATTCTTAACTCTACCCCGGTCAACGAAACCGGACTCGCACCCGAGACCTGACAACTGGTGTGACTTCAGGTGAAGTTAAAAGGTGCTGGGCAACATTTGGAAGGTTGATGTCTTCTCTGCAGGTGGTGAGTGGAAAGCAGCATTATCTGGGCCAGTTCTGGCTTAACCCTTAACTGCCCCAAAACATCCTGCTGTGACTTCTCCTCTGGTGTCACCAACCAAGGTGCAGGGTGTGTCGGTGATTTCATAATCTGAACCAATTTCTGGTGAACCAAGGCCACCAAACTATCTCACAACATCCAAAAAAGCAGTCAAACGTAAAAATAACACCTTCAGATCACTATCAAAACCACTACTACTGGTACCTTGTAAAATTTAATAGCCTACACCAAAGATCACCATGAAGGTGATCTGAGGGCTGGAGCAGCTCTGGAGCCAGGCTGGGAGAGTTGGGTTGTTCAGCCTGGAGAAGAGAAGGCTCCAGGAAGACCTTAGAGCACCTTCCAGTGCCTGAAGGGGCTCCAGGAAAGCTGGGGAGGGGCTTGGGACAAGGGCTTGTAGTGAGAAGATGAGGGGGAATGGCTTAAAACTGGAAGCGGGGAGATTTAGATGAGACATTAGGAAGAAATTCTTCACTATAAGGGTGATGAGACCCAGGCTCAGGCTGCCCAAAGAAGCTGTGGCTGCCCCATCCCTGGGGGTGTTGAAGGGCAGGTTGGATGGGGTTTGGAGCACCCTGGTCTGGTGGGAGGTGTCCCTGCCCATGCAGGGGGTGGGACTGGATGAGCTTTAAGGTCACTTCCCACCCAAACCATTCTAGGTGAGCATCTCTGAGCCAGGGCAAGCCTAAGGCTTGGGAAGCCATCCCTCCTTCTGTCCCTTCGGGAAGTCTCAGCACAGTGCTCTGGAATGGACCCATGTTTGTATCCATGCAGACTTGAGAAGCTTATAAACACAACCACGGGCTGTGCTGGTCCTGGCTCAGCCTCAGCCCAGAGACGTGCACAGGAACAGCACCATGTCTGCACCCCCTTAGGGCAGGTCAGTTTGCCAGGCACAGGCAGGAAGTGTAACCAGCACCCAAGCAGGCTCCGGCTCAGTGAAGTGTGGGTCCCAGCGGGGGGTCTCTGGTGTGGTGATGCACACATTCCTGGGGGATACGGGCTCCCCAGGGAGCTGGCAGTGGGCTCAGCAGGGCTACAGGTCCCCCACCTGGTGCTAGCATGGGGCAGGGACTGCAGAGCCTGCCTTGGACCTGGAGTCCCCAGTGTGCAGAGGGAACTGGTGCCTGCCTGTCTCTCCCCAAGGGCTGGAGAACAAGTGCCACGCACAGGCACGAGTGGGAAGCAGCAGGAAGCGCATCTCCCAGATGGGCTTGGAGCCAGGCGGAAGC